TCCATACCAACAGTTTTGTTTACAAACATGTCTTGCAGGCAGGTTTGAAAGGCTGTAATTTATAAACTCCATAAGGTTTCCCTACATTTACTGAGCTTGTCTAAAACCTCTGCTGGAACCACAGAGATGTTTTCTTTATTCAAATTTGTAACAGATTCAGCATCTTAAACCTTTTTTAACTCCTGTACTCATGCAAGCCTAAATATTAACCTTTAATATCTAAAGTTAAATTTAGTGCCAACATATCTGCAGGTGCTGGTGAAGATTCTCAGTCATCAGGGTCAGAGTCATTCCAAAAAAGTCAAAAAACAATCCACTGGACTTTGTTTCCAAGTTTAAAGACGTTTCGCTTCCCATCCAGGAAGCTTTTTCAAATTAAATGTCAGAAATAGAAATAGCATTGAGTAAGCAACTCAGCCATATTTCTTTTTGGAATATCTACATATATTTAACATCATTAAGTAGTGGCACATATTCAGAGTTTATATATTGGCTTAACTTTTAGTTCCATTGAGCAGATTTTGATTTCTCAATTTTTCTGAGGATTTTTTTATGGATTAGGTTCTGATTCTGCTTTTAGGAAAATCTTTAAAATAAAACTGACTCTCTCCAGGCTATGTAGACATGCTGTGATTATTCTGTTGAAAATAAATTCCTCTCCTCTTTGTGTTTCTTTTAGAAAAAGCCAGAGAATATCTGCACCAAACTGGACGTTTCATCGTGATCGGAGGGATCATCTCACCAGTTCATGACTCCTATGGAAAACCTGTGAGTGAAACCAAAACGCCTTTTCAGGGTGGAATCAGTCTGTGTTGATGCAGATCACAGAGTGACCTCATGGGGGTGACATTGCCTCCTTCCTTTGATAAAACACCAACTTTAGAGTACTGCTACAGTATCATGATGGATCTGCAGTTAAAATCAGTTCCAATAAGATCATTTCATTCATGATAATTAAGGACCCAAAATTAATTTCATTTTGTTGGTTTAATTATAAACTCTTTAAATAATAGGAAAAGTGTTATTTTAGCCAGAAATCCTCTGCATTATTTTTGGAAAAGTATAATGAGGTTGTGTTATAGGGGCCACAACCTTTTCAGTTGTACTTACTCAGAATCCTGCATAATGAAGGAAAACATTTGTTAGTTAAAATAATAATAATGATGATTCCATGTGGAAAAAAGAAAAGCACGCTGTCGTCAGTAGTTTAAATGGATAAATTCCTTTTTAAAGTGAAAACCTCAGTTAACTTCTGTTTAGTTAGTTGTCTTATTTGAGAACAAAAGTGGAACAAAGTTGAAATCCTTCTTAAATGAAGCAACGTAGGGAAAAGATTCTGATTATATTCCTGAAACTTGGACCCATACTGTGTTTATCTTGGAAGGTCTCCAGACTGTAACGCTTCAACTCTCAGAAACTCTAGATCTTCACCTGTTTAGATCTGTTCTTAAGAAAATAAATAAGAAACAGTAGCTTCTCGAAATCTACAAAACATCTGAATGCAAACAAGTTTTATTATTTGTTGTTGAACTTTAACTAAAACCTGAGGAAGTTTTCCTATTAAGTATCATCAGATTTTACAACCACCATAACCTTGCAGCCTGAAAATATTGGTTGAAGAAAACAGTTCTGATCAACATGATGAGAAAAAGATGGCTCCTGTCACTGAGCCAGGTTCAGCTGCTGCAGAAGGTTTCTTCCTCTTCCTCTAACTTCACGCTCGGCATGAGGGATTGCTACATTGTCAACAAACTAAATAAATTGTCTAAAGTAGGAAACTGAGTTTCAGTGCAAGGTTTTATAAATAGGATACTATTGGAATGTCTGAACTAAGTCAGTATAGATGAACTGATTTTATAGATTTCTGGTTATGATTGGGAAAAAAAGCTGTATAAAAGAGGAAAATAAAAATAAACAAATTTTAACAATGATGGCAACAATCCGATGTTATTTGAGAATTAAGAAAAAGTTTTGAGAGAAAATATTGTCCTTAATAAATAAAAGATAAACTGACATTTGGAAAATGATTCTAATGGAAAAGCTCTCATAAAAATTTACTTTTACTCTCAAATATTGTTTTTTTTTTTTTTTTTTTTTTTGCAGAGTGTTAACATTTCCTCTCAAAAATAGATTTCTCTCTCAAAGTGTTTTAATTCTCTCTCAAAACATAAGTCCTTGCTCTCCATTCAGGATTTTTCTCTCTATGTCAAAACTGTGTCATGGGCGTGTTCCAATTGGCCAGTCTCCATCCATCCATCCATTTTCAATCAGGCTCATCCCAGCTGGGGTAGCAAGGGGTGCTGGTGCCTATTTGTATGTCAGGGTCCACCCTGGACAGGTCTCCAGTCCATTGCAGGGCAACACAGAGACAAACAGGATAAACAACCATTCATGCAGAAACTCACACCTAAGGAGAATTTAGAGAAGTCAATGAACCTAACCGTCATGTTTTTGGACTGTGGGAGGAAGCCGGAGTACCCGGAGAGAACCCACGCATGCTCAGGGAGAACATGCAAACTCCATGCAGAAAGACCCGGGGCCGGGATTCGAACCCGCAACCATCTTGCTGCAATGCAGCTGTGCTACCCACTTCTATTTATTTTTCTCTTCAAAAAAATGTATTTTCCTCTCTCAGCTGTTTTTCTTTTTCTTGAATTTGATAAAAACATAAGACTTAAACAATATTTGAGAGTAAACATTTATATTTGAGAAGGCTTCATTCTCTTGAATTTATCTTTTATTGGACGACAAAATATTTTCTCTACAAACTTTCTTTCAGTCAAATTAAATGAATTTTGCTATCAGTGTGAAAATGTATTTCCTTTAATATATTTATTGTACTTTCACAATTATTTTCCCTTGCACGTGGATATTTTCTTGACTTTAGTAAAAACAAGACAATAACTCAATACTATTGTTGCTTCAAAAGGTGATTAGAAACCTCAGTCTAATATTTTCTGTAATAATCCTGCCTTCATCTGTTCTTATTCCATTGATAACATGTCATTATTCCACTGAGGAGAGTCAAAGCAGTTTGCAGTGTTTGACGTGTTTGAGTGAAGCTCACAGTTGGGAGGTAATGATTTGTGTCAGAACCAGTCCATGCTGACTCATCCTTTGTTCTGGTGCTTTTACAGATCAGAACATTCCAGTTGTTTCTGTTGGTGCTTTAGCCTGAACAGAACCTGAGGTTCTGTCTTCCTGCTGGGAGATCAGCTCCTGTTGTGTTTTCCTCCATTACCAGCCTCAGATATCATCAGCCTGTATGCAGCTGCAGCTCTGCAGGAATTAATAAAGATCTTGTCCTACTTTCTCTCAGCTTCCACAAAAAAACACATATCATGAATAATAGATGCTGCAGAAATCCAGTTTATACCGCAAATAGAGTCTTTACTTCTCTGTTCTTAACATTAGTTTTTTTCTACCATGTTTTCTGCTTAATGCACAACCGTAGGTATTCTTTTAAAGCCAGTTTAGATTTATTCTTTATCCGTAGGTGAAAAATACATAATCAAAACAGAAAATCATTCAATTCTTATTGT